GGACGCCAACCTTTGGAGACTTAATAGAAGGCCATTTGTCACCTCCCACTAGCTGTCTGTAGCTGGAGATCGACACCTGGGCAACACCTCGGGCTGTGCGAGTCCGTCGCCTCCTCCCACACCTCCCTGCTCATATTAGGAGGCCCCGGCTTATAATATTTGATAAATAGCAGGCTGGTTCACTCCCAGCACCCGCGCAGCGTCGCGTCGCTGGAGCAGCTGCAGAAGGTCACTCATTGGGGAAATATGTTTCTGTCAGCGGTATCGAAAAAAGTTTAGTAGAGTGACAGGCCTCAATTTTTCAAATTTTATTAACTCCATCCTCTTAACAATTTGTCTTGAATTCCTTCAGATTCTGGATAACTGTCAATAGGGCTCGCGACGCGGCGGGTGCTGGTACCCCTGCTGCCGTCAGGGAGGAGACGGGGATGGCAGGAGGAGGGAGAGGGCAGGAAGGCGTGGGAGGGTGGCAGGGGCCGGCAGGCGACGCCAGCGCTCGGAGGAGCATCCCAGCAGCCCTGCGTCCCCCGCAGCTCGGTCCTTGCTCACCCTCCTCCGTCGCAGTCTGTCCTGGCAGGGCAGAGGAGCGGAGATCTGGCTCAGGGCACGTAGCCAGATACGTGCCTGCTGAAGCAACAACAAGTCTCGTACCTCGGGCAGAGCGAACGCTGGGTGCCGGCTGGCCCATAGGGGCACGCGGAGAGCTACGTTTCTCCAAAGACCGGACACGGAAAGGCTTGGGAAAGCCCTGGGCACCGAGACAAGGAATGAGACCTCCTTGCATGGTGCAACCAGATGCTGTGAAAGCTCCTGCACGGACTGCTGCTCTTGGGCGTCCTCAGAGGCAGCCTCCAGCTGAGCGCTTGGGTCGGAGCCTCTCTTCTGCAGATCGCCAAGAGGAGCTGCTGCGGGGACAGAGGACGCGGCTGCTGTGAACCAGCACGAGATGGTCTACGCGCCGGTGCCGCTCCGAAGGTCCTGTCTGCAAAAGAGCCGGACAGAAGTGGTGGCCTGTATGGCAGACGGGACGCCAAAACGTTCAACGTCTCGTTGTCTTCCTTCATTTGCGTAGATATGATGTGGTGAAGGTGGCGACCAAGCGCTTGGGCAAGTCTCCAGTGCAGAAGACAGCACAGCTTCAGTCCAGAAAGCCACGGAAAGCCACTCTCCCCAGTATAAAGCCATCCCCAGTCTCCCAGAAGCAGAGCTGCTAACTTCTTACATCAGGTTGTCAACCAGGGACTGATCTTGCACACATCTCTCTACAGAAGTTGTCTAGTCGTCACGAAGTCATTTCAGCAGGGGTTCCTCGAGGTCCCTCCGCTCGTGCAGGTCCTCATCAGACCCTTCCCGGCGAGGGGAGGGCCCAGCCCAGCCGTGCCTGCGGCGCTGGCAGGCCTGCAGAGCCGACACTGAGACATCAGCGCGGACCGAGCCCTCCCGGGACCAAAGCTGCTCCCGGGCCGCAGCCCAAACCCAGGCTCAGCCCCAGCCCTGAGCCTCTCCCAAGCGGACGGGCCTGAGCACACACAGCAAGAAGGACGGACAACAACAACAAAAAATAAACTGATTTTTCTGGCGAAAAGGAGACTAAACCCCCGAAAGCGTTGCCTGGGAATCCCCAAGCCCCCGGTGGGCAGGTATGCTGCGGAGGATGCTGGAGACGGGCTGCGGTCCTGAGCCAGGGAGGCCCCGAGCGGCAGGCGAGCGCCGGGACGAACCGCACGGCGCCGGTGCGCTACAGGCCATTTTCCGGTGCAGGCACACCTCTCCCTGGCCCTGTTCCAACACCGACACGGGCTGGGATTCTCCAGGAGGAAGCAGCCCCCGGTACCTGCTGGGGACTCCACGATGCCATCAGCCATCAGCTTTGACAAGGAGTGACATTGTTATTGCTCCACGTGGCTAGTTAAAGTAATATAAAAAGACTTCTGTCCTCCTGAGTCTTCAGTGATTGAATTAGCATGATCACCCCTTTTTCCAGTAACGTAAACCTGGTTTTAAATCAATAAGGCACATATTTCACAAGCAGCTTTTAACATACAACATTAGTCGGAAAGTGGACCCCCAGCCTGCGATCCTACCACCCCTTCCCTGCCTGGTGCCTCGATGAATACAGGCGACACGTTACGGGGCACTGCTCCGCTCGCGGGGCAGCGACCTGCAGCTCTTGCCGAGGAGCTGCCCCCGCTACTGCAGCGAAGGAATCTTCCCGCGTGCCCCAACTGCAACGTGCGCACACGCTCCCCTGGGAACACCCTCACATCCCATCAAGGGAACAGCCAGAGCAAAGTCTTCAAAGGTAGCGGGCGGACGTGAGGACGATGCTCCAGATGATTCAGCATCCCTGCCCCTTGGTGGCATTTGCTAATTGCCCCGGCTATGGGAGTACATGAGATCAAACCATCACAATTCCACCTCTGGTCCCTCCGGTGAAAACATTCGTCTCTGCAGAAGTAAAGGCTCAGCATACAGAAGCCCAAAAGGGCAACTTTTGGCTCAAAGATCTCAGAATTCTCCTGGGCCCCCCTTGGCGGCGCCACCTTTACCGGTGACGTGGGCTGGAGGCTGGGGCTCTGTCGGCCCCGCCACGGTGAGCCGTTGCGGGCTCCCAAGCCTCTGGCTTCTCCCACACCCACACACGTCCTCTATCCAAGCGCGCACACGTGCGGTCCCTCTTCGAGAGGACTACAAATGCCGCGGAGAAGGTAAGTGGGGTACGCCGCACTGAACGACGAGAACGGCTCATTAGCAATTCATAACAGCCTCGTGAAAAATGTTAGCCCTGCACAACGCAACGATACCACAAATGCTAACCACGAGGTGCAAAAAACGATTTAGAAAATG